TTGGTCTGTCTGCCAGTCTGTCCAGCAGACCTCCATGGATGTGCAGTTTTCCTTGCCTCAGCCTAGCAGCTCTCCCCCCATGTCTGCCTCACCTAATCTTCAAAGCTGAGCTGCTGCTCACAATGGCTCCACCGTGGCCATACGCATTAGCGAGGGGGGTGTTCCCCTAATGAGCTACTCCCCTGCCTTGGCTGGCGCCGGGCTAGCCACACCTGTTTGCCATCAGGGCTGTCTCGGCCCAGCCAGTGTGGCTCAGTTGCAGGTGGTAGGGCTGAATGAGGGGTGGAGTGGGGAAGGCTGGGCGCCTTTTGCTTTGTGCTGTGTGCTTGTGAGGGTGAGGGGCAGTTTCTTACACCCGTTTCCCCTGTATTGTTCTCTTCTAGGCGGGGGGAATGCTCTCTGCCTTCTTTTCTGTTATACAAAAAGAGTAATAAAGGAACTTGAGGAGTATCTCATTTTTTCTAATTTTCCCCTGGATGGAGAGAGAGGAGCCAGTTAGGGTCTGAGGGTAGGGTTTGATAATCTGTTCCTGTGACCCTGAGGTGCCAATGTGGTAATAGCAGGGTCACATGATAAATGCCAAGGAAAGACCCCCTTTCTGGCCTTAGACCCATACTATTTGGAAAGCAATCATGCCTCTTGGTTTAGAGCCCACAGTCAGGACTGGGGACTCTTCCTTAAAGGGGCCTCTTGGATTCATGAAGCTGAAGGAAGTTTTGATTTGGTTGAAAAAAAATCTCATTCTTTTTATGGCCTGGACATAATTGGCTCTTTTCTATTGGCCATCAGTGATGTCATTCCGGCCCTCATAAAGAAGGGGAAATCACACCTGTGGACTTGGTGCATAAAATTTCATTGGGCAACAGTAATAAGCATGACCAGATGATGTTTGGGCAGTTGGGGAGATTTGTGCCCAGTGAATCCAGCTGCATGGAGACCTGGGCACTATAAACCTGCCTGCACGTTCGTGCCCACAGGCTAGTCCAGGGCCCACTGCCAGTGGCTCTTTTCTTAGGATCAGGATGTGGTAGGAACATACAGCATTCAGACCCTTTGTGCCCGGGGACCTTTTTTTTTTTGACAAATTGGTGGAACCATGTACCCACTGATACCCACTGACACCCACTGACCCTAGGCTTCTAAGAACCTTGAACGCAGGTGTGACCTTGAGCAGTGCTACCAGTATGCTACCTGCTTCTCTAAGGCCCTGGGCTTTGCCTTCCCAGGACTATAAAGAGCTCTGAGCGTGTCTGTACAACTTACGCCTGTGCAGTCAGAAGTTTTGGGTTCTGTTTCTAGTACTACCCTTGGCTTGTTGTGTGATTGAACAAATCCTTTTCTTCTCTGAGCCTCAGTTTCCTCTTTTATGTAAGGGATGATGACCGCTCTAACCCACCTTCCTCACAGATTTCATATCTTGATCCTCTCTAAGCTGGGGTAGGGTGTGTGAAAGAGATGTGTACCCAAGTACACGTGTGAACCCAACGCACCTGTGAACCCAAGTTCTGGCATTTGGCCCTTTGTCTCTCACGAAGATGAAGCTGGCCCTGCTACATTTTTATGGCTTGCGTCTTGGAGTCACAGGGCTAGGACTACCCAGAGGACTACTCGACAACCTGAATGCCTGTGGGTGAGTCTCCAAACTGCACGTGTACTTGCAATGACTAGAGCCCCTGAGTGAGAATTACGGTGCCTAACCCCCATGCACATCAGTCAGACCTGGGATTCAGAATGGCACCCGAGATTGCTGGTGAGCCATATCTCAGGCGGAGTATCCAACCTGACAATCTGTCTGGCCTGTCCTTAGTGTGGCCCCTTTGGGATAGGTCCTCCTCTGAGAAGAATAGGCATGATCCTACTGACCTAGACCCTTCCTAGATAGTAGAAATTTCTACAGCTGTTGTCTACCCTTAAAATTCTGCTAAAGAGGGAGCCCCTCCCTCTCCCAGGGCTAGCTAGAGCCAAAAGGACTCCTGGCCTGTGTCAACTAAAAGAATCAGAGAGTGCTACAGTTGGCTACGGGAGAATGAGATAGAGGCTCCCTGTCTATTGCTGGCCAGTCCCCCTGACCTATTCCTTTGTGGATTCTGCTGCTTCTGGTGGCCCCTTTCACTCATAGACTTTAATGTGATTTTTCTAAAATAACTGAGTTCAGCAAGCATTTTCACAAATACCAAGGATAAGGAACATGACAGAAAGATTGAAGCAAATAGAATTATTGTCAAATTACCGTTCTGCTTCTTAGGCAGCCACGTTTTAGCTCCTAAGGCTACCTTTCAGCCTTAAAAACCTTGCCTCATTTCCTCATGTTCTTGGTCCTTCATCCTACATGGGCACATCTATCTGGATACCCCTTCATCATCTTGGCCTCAGCCTGAATTTCCCTTCTAGGAAACTGACTAGTTGCAGTTAATGTCACTGTGCCACTTGGATGTTTGAGAGGAACCTGCCCCTCAGGTAAGATATCTTGGGTCTTATAAAAGTAAATCCTTACTATACACTGCCTGAAACAAGGGGATCAATTTTCTATTAGTATCTGTCAAATATTTAAAGGGTAATGGAGGGAAGACTGGACTGCCTTGAACTTTCTGGAATGGAATCAGTCATCTCAACTAGATTCTTATAGCCAAACTTTCTAGAAAAGGAGTTTGCACTTGTAATCTTCACTGTCTTATCTCTCACTCTTTGACACTTTGCAGGTTGCCTTCTGCCTCCCAGACTCAGCCCACTGACGCCCCTTTCACCAAGATTACTTTTGACCTCCTCATTTCTAAATCCATTGGGTTTTTCCCAGCTGTCATCTTGCTTGACCACTCCATGGCAGTTGACACTAATTACTTAGCATTTCAAACTCAAAAATCAGTTCTATATATTCCAGAGAGGGGAAGCACACTTTTATCACAGTTTAGGTTGACCACAGGTAATATGAAGTGGGGTCAAAAGAGCATGTGTGACTTTAGATGTCACATACCCTGAGAAACGTCTGGGGCCCTGCCCTTTGGGAATGGGGATAGGTTGGATAAGTCCTGACTCAATGGCATATTGTCTCGTGAGGAACTCTTGAAGTTGCTAAGCGTATGTGGCTTGGAGAAGGGAACTCCAACGGAAGCTTTCTGGACTCTCAGATCTTAGAAGGTTTCTGTGAGGAAAAGATAGAAGTCTTGTTCTTTGTATTTTCTAAAGACAAATACTTTGACCCCATGGATAGAAGTTACAGGGAGACAGACTTTAGTGTTTAAGGAAGGATTTCTAAGAATTGAGTCAAAAAATTAGATCTAGCTGTTTCATGAAGTAGTGAGGTCCTTGTGTGTGATGATGGTCTGATGGCGGTAGCCTGGTTTCATTTTGGCTCAATAAAACTTGCAAGGCATTAGCCTGGGCCCTCTGCTCACCTCGCTCGATATGAGGTGGCCTTATTTACTCTCCTGGCTTTAATTTTACTTAAGTTATGTTAATGATTACATTAATAATTATACTAATGATTCAGCAATCCGTGTTCTTATTCCAGATCTCTCTTCAAAACTGGATATCCTGTTGCCTCTGAGATACATTCCACTACCAGATATCTCCTAGGCACCTCAAGCTCAGCAGACATCGAGCGTTTATTGTGTGTCAAGCATATTTCTAAAACTGCATTCCCAAACTCCTGCTTCCTTCTAGTGACATACTAAAGATGGGGCAGGGGAGCAGCTCCTCCCCCCCACCCCCCAGTTTGGGCAGAAAGTGGGGTATGCTACAAGTAGAGCATTTAAAAACCATAATAAAATTGACTAAATGCAGGCTTGCTCTGGATGTCACATAGGCTCTCCGTGCCACTGCCTCCTCCTTTGGATCCATCTTAGTGAGTGGCATGAAGCTAGCCAAGCAGAGCTCTACTGCTTTCTCACTGGGCCCCACATTTCATTCGGTCACCAGGCCTCCTTTACATCTCTTAATGTCTGTTCCTTGATCACCATCTTTACCATTACTGTTTCTCTCTCCTGGCTACTACCCTGCTTTTTCAGTCTATTATTTTTGCTGCCTCCAGAACAATCTTGGTAAATACAGCTCTTCAGAGGCTCTTCATTGACTGTGGCACAGCTCTTCTCTTAGGAATAAGACTGTGATCTTTCCTGGCTGGTATTTCTAGTACTCTCTTCCTCCATCCTTGCATATGCCCCTGTGCTCCAACTTAAGGCTGTTTTTGTCTTTCTTTCATTGCCCATACCTCTGAACAAACTGAGCTCTTTATGGACAAGAGTTACATCTTTCTTCCTGACTCTCATTAAGCAACAATGCATGTTTGATTGAATGGATTTGTCTGAGTAAAACAATATCATCAGCTAGAGGGGGAGATAGTTGATAAATTCTAATTTAAAGAAAAAAATAAGAACAGACCCTTGATTTAAATTCTGACCTCCTCTTATCCTTCTACCTTGCCTCTTCTCTATCTGAAACAAACCTGTAGCTAGACGCTTAAATGTGAGCTGAAACCCCAGCTCATCTATCTCCAAACGATATGCTCTGCCTTTCTCTCCTCCTGTCTTGTCTGTTTGGCTCTCTGCTGTAACAAAACAACAACAAACCAGTGTGTGGAAAGAACATAGGCTTTGGAGTCAGACAGAACTGGGTTCAGTTCTTGACGCTATCATGTTTTAGCTGTGGGACCTTGGGTAACCTCTCTAAATCTCATTTTCTCATCTGTAAAATGTCGACAACAGTACCTGTGTCTCAGCATTGCTTTGAAGATTAAATGTGAAAATGTAAGTAAGGTGCTTGGCATACTGTAAGCCATTAGGAAATAGTCGCTGCTGCTGTTATTTTGAAAAGAGTTTTTGGGCTGTCACACTTGAATCTGAGGGCCAGAGCTGGAGCCCAGTGTCTATAGTGGGATCTACGGCTAATGGGTTGACCTTTTGAGGTCTATTTGTCTTGTAAACTCTTTTGGACTTCCTATCTTAAGTCTTCGTACCTGGGACGTGGATGTGCCCAACTTGTTCTCTCTCCCCTTTTTTTTGTAGGCTCCCAGGCCAGTGCCAGTACCTGGGCTTACCAGTGGCGGATTACTTCAAGCAGTGGATTAATCTGAAAAAGGTACTGTGTCTGAGCCCCAACTGGGTGCTTCCCCTGGTGCTCTTATGCCTCACAGCTCCCCTACTTTACTTTCTTTTCCTATATCTGTTCTCTTTCCTTTTCTTTTTGTTCTTCTCTTTTCTTCAACACCTCTCCTTCCTTTTCCCTAGTTAATATGCACTGAAATATGGTTATTTATGACAGTGGAGAGCTGCTTGGGGACCAGGCCGCCGCGTGGATTATGACACTGCCTTAGTTGGTGTCTTTCAGACATGGAGAAACGTCCTAGTTAAGGAGATTTCGGGGGGTTCTTGCTCAGAGCTGAATCTGGGGGCAGAGCTGCCTTGTCTCTAGGAGTGATGTGGCACTAGCTGAGACTCTGGGAAGGTATTCTCCTTTGTTATCATCATGAATGTGGCCTCTGACCCTCCTGACTGTCCCTGATATATCACTCTGGTTGGGAGGCAGAGTTCATTTAAGTTGGCTTTATTCCTGCCTTGCTCCAGGAGAGCCTGGCTCATGTGACGAAGGGCCATGGAAACTAGAGTCCAATTCCCTTTGGACCTGATGGGGAGACTGGAACTCATGCAGCATCAAGCACCTGGGGAGGTGATGCTGAGGCTGTAGACTGGCAAGGACATTGTGTGGCTAGGATAGTGAGCCCTGGCAGTGAATGAATCACTGGTTGGGAGGCAGAGTTCGTTTAAGTTGGCTTTATTCCTGCCTTGCTCCAGGAGAGCCTGGCTCATGTGACGAAGGGCCATGGAAACTAGAGTCCAATTCCCTTTGGACCTGATGGGGAGACTGAAACTCATGCAGCATCAAGCACCTGGGGAGGTGATGCTGAGGCTGTAGACTGGCAAGGACATTGTGTGGCTAGGATAATGAGCCCTGGCAGTGAATGAATCACTTAGAAAACTATACTTTCCTAGTAGAGTATCCCTGCTCTGGAGGGATCCTTGCTCCGGGAGGCCCAGTCCACTAGAGAGACTCAGCCCCATAAATCATTCTGATCCAAGGGCAACAGTCCTGGAGCAGCCTTAGGAACCTCATGCCACCAGTCAGCTTAGCAACTCCCAGGAAGCTCAGAGAAAGGAGAACACACTGGGGGTCAAGATAGTGGCTTCCAGGGGGCTTAGAGAAGACAGAGGTCAAGGGAGGGTCAGGCTAGGTATGGCGAGGATTTGAGTCTTGACCTGGGCATTCAAGGAAGGTGGGATATGGATAGGAGGAGAAGAGAATGCTTTCTCAGCAGGGAGGGCAGCATGCTTTTGGTGTGTGGGGAGGCTGGGGCTAAGCAAACATGTGGAGGAGCAGTGGAAGAGAAAGTTTTATAAGTATTTATTGCCACACTGACAGTGACTTTGCATTTAGTTCCATGCATTGTGGCATCATTTGTGAAGTCCTTTGCTTTCCATTGGTAGACAGGTGCATTGCACTTGGCTTGTTCACAGTTTGACTCCTACCCCACTCTCCGGCTGATCTCCCTTGAAACTGACCAACTGCTGCTTACTACTTCTCCTCTTATGCTGAAGAAGCTGGACACTGCCCTAGGTTTGGGCCTTTCCCTATGGCCTGCCTTCTTTCTGAAATGTCCCTCAGTCATCTTCATCAGACATGTTCCCTGTCCTGGAAGATTCAACTCAGGTATCACTTCTGCTGAGAAGCTCAGCAGTCAGTCTCTTGCCTTGAGGTTCCTTGGCACTTGGGAAATCACTTACCTCAGTTGAAACTGAATCCATGTATATTTCCTTCCAGACATGTCCATCTGGAGCACAAAGATGGAGTCTGGTTCCTCTCTGTGTCTCTGGTGGCTAGCCAGGGCTGGGCCTAGACTGTGTGCTCAGTGAGTAATTGCTGGCTGACAATTCATCTTCAAGAACTACTTCCACGGAGGCCCCTCAGAGCTAGGCATGTGGCAGAGCTAGGCATGTGGTGGGGCTAGACATGTGGGTGTGGCTAGGCATGCACCCCTGGAAGATAGCATACCGGCTGTCAGAGCACATCTGAGGCTGCTTGCTGGCCTCAGCAAATGCAATGTGAAGGCCCGGCCAGGCGAGGCAGGCGCTGACCATTAGTAATTACCCTGTGAAGTTCACTAGACTTTTTGGTGTATGGATAGCTGCCTGCCTCCAGGTTCCCTGGCAGAAAGACAGGAAAGCAGCCGACCCGTGTGGTAACATTGTCACTCAGGGCCACCTTGGTGCTGCTGGCCCAAAGGGTGGGGGTAGAGGCCGGCTGTCCAGAGTCTTTTCAGCTTGGTTCCCCTGCAGACTGTGCTGAGCTGAACAGGGAAGGAATAGGTACAAGGGGAGGGGAGACTGAGGACTCTGTTCCTAGTTGGCCTTGTGATTTCCTCGTGTGAGGTAACCTGAGCAAGTCTGGGAAAAACAAGGGGTCTAACCCCTTCCTCTCTGCACCCCAGCCACTTTGTATTGCAAGTGTGCTTAAAGGCCCAGCAGGAGAGGTGGCTTAACTTTGAACTTCAGCCCAGTCCTTACCAGCAGCCATTCAGGACATAGAGGCTGCTGAGTCCTGGAGGCCCAGTGGCAAAGTAATCTTTCTGACCTTTATGCTGTGTGACTTGGTGCAGGCTGCACTAAGATTCCTCCTTAAAAAGAGTAATGATAAAAGCAAAGCCAGGGAGGTCATTGCCAAGGTTGCAGGAATATTATGTAAAAGCCTTAGTCCATGCCTTGTTTCCCCTGTGTGACCCAGGCTCTGGCTCTCTACAGGGTCCTCTCGTGTCCTTGATCTTACTCTGCGTTTCCCCCTTCCCTTTCTTCTCTCCTCCTCCTCCACTCCCCCAGCAGAGCTTTACTTCTTCAGAAAGGTGGGGAAGGTCCTGGTCTGCTTGGTCACCTGAGACTTGCCTAGTGAGTGAGCAACTGGAGATGAATTCACCATGCCTATTTCATAAGACCTTCAATCTGAGAAGAGGCAAAATGTCTTTCAGCTGCCCTTACTTCTCCAGAAATGGTGTGGGTTGCATCAGGAAATAGGAACTTTTCAATGGCCAAGTTTCCACATCTCCCATCGCCATCTACTTCCCCTGTAGCAGAGTGGAGCAGGCCTGTGTTTGCTGACATTTGGAATGTCATTGAATGATCTTATTCTTATTGAGCTGTCAGCTTAGAGAGGACTTGGGGCCCTGCTTCCAGCTCCCTCTAGGAGATAGAGCTGTCACTGAGGAGCCAGAAGAATACACACGTATGCAAACGCGTTAATATACACATGTATATGCATGTGAACGCATACACCCCAAGTGGATATACTCCAAATTGCATGTCTGTATCCATATATGCATTCATATATAGGTGCATATACATATAAGCAGTCACCTGAAGAAATATTTGGAGATATACCCAGACATGAAGGTGTTTATACATACATATTCATAAAATATAAAGATACATGCACACAGGTAAACATATATATCTTCATCAGTAAACAAAAAAAAATTTTTTTTTTTGAGACAGTGTCTCACTCTGTCATCCAGGCTAGAGTGCAGTAGCACAAACATGGCTCACTGCAGCCTTGACCTCCCGGGCTCAAATGATCCTCCCATGTCAGCCTCCCAAGTAGCTGGGACTACAGGTGCCTGGCTAATTTTTGTATTTTTTGTAGAAATGGGGTTTTGCCATGTTGTCCAGGCTGGTCTCAAACTCCTGGGCTCAAGCAATCCCCCCTCTTCAGCCTCCCAAAGTGCTAGGATTGCAGGTATTAGCCACTGCGCCCAGCCAATAAAAAACTATTTTGAATGCCTTCTGTGTGCCAGGTACTGTGTGAGGGCCTGGAGATATAAAAAGATGGATGTTGAATAAATAAGTTTAGTTGCATTGAGTAACACTAAACAGTTCAGAGTCATGGATCATGTAATAAGGAACTGACTTAGTAGGGTGGGGTGAGAGAATAGTTCCCTGAGGAAGGATGTCTAAGCTGAGACTTGAAGAATGAGTTGGAATTGGCAAAGCACAGTGTAGCATGTGGAGAGACCCCGAGGTGAAGAGAAGCCTGGCAGCTTCATGAAACCAGAATGTAAGTTTCAGGAGGAGAAAGAATTTGTGTCTCTTTTGTTCACTGCTCTATCCCCATCACTCTGAATAGTTCCTGGCACACAGATGTTTAATCCTTACTTGTTGAGTGAATAAATGCCTAAAACGTAGTGAAGGTGGCAAAAGGAGAGTGGCGTGAGATGAGGCTAGAAGGGAGTCAGGGAGCCTATAGATCACACTTTGATTTTGACCTTGATGTTTAGGTTAAGAGGAAGCTATTAAAGGGCATTAAATATAAGAGGGGCATCATCTGATTTGCATTCCAAGAAAGCTCTCTCTGGCTGCAGTGTAGAGGGAGCTAAGAGCAGATACAGACCAGTTGCTGGTTTTTCTTAATCGGGCTACATTTGGCATTTTTGGGTGGGACAAATCATTGTGTGGGTGACATTGCTGAACTTGTAGCATCCCCAGCCCCTATTAACTGAATATCAGCAGTGCCTCTCTGAGTCATTGTGATAATTAAAAATGCCACCCTGTATCCATTTCTAGTGACCTGGACAGGGTGGGAGTGGAGGAGTACTGTCTTTGATTGAGAACCACAGAACTAGGCTGTTTTTGTGGCCCAGGTGAAAGATGGTAATTACTGGATTAAACTGATAGCAGTGGAAATGCAGAGAAATGGGCCAATTCCTGAGTATTAAATGGTGTAGTCAGTTCTGCTATAATGCAACATATAGATTTCTGAAAATCACCATGCTAGAGAAAGTCATGCAACAAAAATTCCATTAGTGACACATAAAAGAAAAGATAGGAATCTAATAAAAATGGTAGCAAAGTTTTACACATTAAATGCTTAAGAAATACATAAATACCACAATAAATATGGTACTTTACTTTGTAAAACCCCAAAGTTTGCTTGTAGAAATGGGCATGAGAAGGGTTGCAGCTTGTGAGTTATTGTGAAGTAGTAGAAGGAGAATGTCTGAAATCAGATGGAAAATTGTAACCAGATGAATGTAGTCCATA